GGGGGGGAGGAACGAATGCCAGGCAGGCAGGCAGGCAGGCAGGCAGGCAGGCAGGCAGGCAGGCAGGTAGGCAGGCAGGCAGGCAGGCAGGCAAAGGAAAGGAAGGGTTTCGCGTCAGGAGCAGAGAAAAGCATCTCACCTGGTCGAGGTGCTTGACGTAGAAGGTTCCTGAGGAGTAGCTGGCAAAGTGACACTCGAGCTGGAAGATGCCGAGGAAGAGCGCGCGGTTTATGAGCTGACGGATGTGCTCGAGATCCTCGAGGAAGCGGAGCGAGGCTCTGGAGGAGACGTCCTCCACTCCGTTGATCCAGGCAATCTCATCCCCTCGCACGTCTGGCCTGTGCTTCTGGTCGCTCCCTCTGCCGATGTCTGCTTGTTTGAACAAGCCTCGCTCCTCCTTCTCCAGCATTTCTGTACGCATCTCCGCAACATGTTCCGGCGAGACAAAGTTGGGCACTACCACAATCCCATGGCGCGAGAGCTTCTCTACAATGCTCTCGGCAAGAGGCTGAGCTGCATCCGCTTGCTCTGCATCAACTAGCAGCTTCGAAGCAAAAGGATCCTTGAGAGGCTTGGCCGATATCGTAGGGCAAACTAAAGAATCACTTGATGCGGAGCTCGAGCTGAGAGTTTGTACGCAAGAGCATCTGGAAAAGACGTTAGCTCTCTCCCTCCTTAGCCGCTGGTTGAAGGGTGTGGTGTAATGGCGGTAGCTAGCCATGCATTGCAATGGCAGTCGCTGCCAGGCAAGAGAAGGAAGAAAGCTCTGGGTGAACTTCAGAGAGTTGAGCAGGAGCATGAGCTCGAGCAAGATCCTTGGAGTCTTGAGAACCAATGCAGCTGCTCTTCTCATCGCTCCTCTCGCCCGCCTCTCGCTCACGCAACCATGGCGCGGTTGCCCACGCGAGCTTCCAGCATTCCTCACTTTCCCCAACAAAGACTGCGAGAACGCAAAAAAACAAAATGTAAAGGTACCGGTACATGACAGTTGAAATATGACCATCCTACTGGTATTTTTGGAATTCTTTGCACGTCGATAGATGGGCGCCCCCTATGGGCTTTCCTATGCCCCAAACGGTCATATATTATGCCATATGAGGGCCGGGGGGGCCGGCCCGCGGCGCCGGCCGCCTCAGTGGCCCTGGCTGCATGCTGAGACGGACGGGCCCGGGCGTCGAGTCGTGGCCGCGCCAGATGCGCTGCAGCCGCGGCAGTGACAGCGGCACTGCCGTAGCCTCCTCATAACTTCGGACTCGCCGGGAGTTCCGGTCGGAAGTTCCGAACGGCGTCGGTCTTCCGAAGTTCGGTTCACGCCGGTCAGGCCCGGCTACTCGGATTCAAGTTCCGACTCCCGGACTCCGAGGCTCGGCGGCGGCGGATACAAAACTTGAAAACTTGTGCCAACCGTCTAAGACAAGACTGAGATATACGCCGCCGCCGCCCGGCGGCAGGGCCCGGTGCCGCGGCACTCGGCTGAGCGGCCGGGCAGCGAGCGGCGCCGTACGGCCAAAGTTAAGTTAAACTTGAATTCAGTCACGGACTGTGGGACCGCGAGGGGTCCAGGCAGTCTCAATAAAAGGGGTGGGGGTGGTTGAAGGGTACAGGGTTGGATCCGTGAGGGTCCATGACTTGGCCGCGGCCGTGTTCTGGTCGAAACACCGGTGTTCCCTCCCCACCCTGTACCCCCTCATCTGAAGGAAATAATTGGGAAAATGAGGGGTAGTCGATTCCTGAAAGCACCTGGCCACATCTGAAAATTTCTCCCTCCCGGCCCGCACAAACGATTGCAAGCTCCCACTCTCAACTCGTTGCCACTGATCTGATCGTCGACTCGATCATCTTGTCCACTTGACCTGTTCTGTTATCGATCCCTTCCCTCTGCCTGCCTGCCTGCCTGCCTGCCTGCCTGCCTGCCTGCCTGCCTGCCTGCCTGCCTGCCTGCCTGTTTGTCCCTCCCTACCTTTCCTTACTTGTTCAGATCTCTGCCTTACATTTCACTCGCCCTTGCGCATTCAGAATCATTCACAAACATGGAGATTTCATTTCAGAGACATTGGAACGACAAGTACAGCAACAGTGAACAAGAAAAACTGGGCTGGTACGAACGGGTCCCTCAGCCTTCTCTGGACCTCATCCAAGAGTGCCAAGTTGACAAGTCTTGTCGGGTCCTGGATGTTGGTTCCGGGTCTTCAGTGTTGATCGACTACCTTCTTGAGGCCGGATACACCAACCTTACTGCTGTGGACATCAGCGAAGCAGCGCTCGACATCACTCGTCAACGCGTTGGGCAGAAAGGAGTCGGTCGGGTGGACTTTGTAGTGGATGACCTGACACATCCAACAAAGATGAAGGACATCCAGGATGTCATGATCTGGCATGATCGAGCTGTGCTGCACTTCTTTGTTAAGGAGGAAGACCGTGAACAGTATCGTAAGGTTCTTGACAGCTCCCTGATGAAAGGAGGATTCGCGATAATTTCCACTTTTGCCATTGGCGGAATCACCAAGTGTAGTGGGCTTGACGTCAAACAGTACTCGCCATCTTCCCTTTCAGAGTTTCTTGGCAAGGACTATGCGCTATTGAAGTCACACGACTTCACGTACATGACTACCTGGGGACAGGAAAGACCGTTCATTTACTGTATCTTCAAAAAGCTTGTTTGAGGTCTCGACCACGCACACGGCCACCAGTTCGGTTTGATTTCGCATAAATTTAACTAGTCTGAATGAAAAGGCTTGACAAAGACACAACTGAGTTCAGGCCGCGCTGCCGCTCTCTGACTCAGTGAACTTCCGAGTTTGGACTGACTTCGGAAGCGCCCTGAGCGGCACCGGCCCGCGCGGCAGCCGATGCCGCCGCTAGTGCCAGATGCCAGATCGGACCATGACTCAGACCGTAACATTTCAGTCAGGCTGCACTGCAATCATGGCAAATCATCATGACTGATCATCGGAGTCGCATGCCACGGTCACTCCCGAGTCCCGGGCGAGCCCCGTTGCTCGCCGAGTCGGACTCCGAGGCTCCGGGAGCCTCGGGGCTCACCGCACCGCGCAGCGGGGCCGGCGGCCGGTCCGTGTCCGACGTCTAAGCGGCGGCCGTCGGCGGCGTCAGACGGTCGGTCGGTCCGACCGTCGGACCGTACACTGGCACCGTGAACGGCGGCCCCGGCGTGGCCGTGGCACGGACTGAAGGCTTCCGAGTTCGGGCCCGGGCCGCGCCCTCGGCCGAGCGAGCCGCTCCGCCGAGCCTCGGAGTCGGACTCGGAGTCCGACGGTCACCGGGTCGAACCGTGGGCCCGGCCGCCGGGCCGGGCCGAGTCCGGTACTCCGTACGGTCCGATCCGGCGGGTCATCCGCTAGCTCAGCGGCTCCCGACTCGCTGAGTCCGGACGGTCCGGCGTTGAAGTTGTATGTTTGGTGACCCTTGGTGACCCGGCCGGACCCATAGTAGGGTACGGTACTCCACACGCTACACCCCTGTTTTCGAATTAAGACCCTTTATGTTGGCAAACAAGCCAGGAGATATCATTTGGGTGTTTTCTTAAGAGGTCAATTGAAAGATCTTTGTAGTAGAGAGGGGAGGGTAGAGGAGCAAAGAATGAAATCTTCCTGTTTCTCTCCTACGCCTCTTGCCTGGGCGAGCAAGGTTTAGAAATTTGACTATATTAATGAATTTGATTTGTCTAAGCAAGGTACCCATGTAGGAATAAAACATAAATAAACCTATATGAAATTAGTTCCATGTACCGTGGTAGGGGGAATAGTTTTGACTATATAGCTTAAAATCTTTAGAAACTTCACTATAGAAGGGGATCCTGATAGTCGAAACGATCCATTAATACATCTCTTCATGTCAAGAATGTCAGCCTCCTTTTCGAAAAAGATACTTTTGGCCCAACATGTATGACCCACCTACCCCTTCTTTCTCCCCCATTCCCCTTTAGAACACCCGTACGTACCCCACCCTTTATCCCCCTTCCCTTTCTTGTGAAGGTTCTCCTCCACCCCAAACTTGTAAGGCCTGCGCCGTGTCTTGGAATATTCTGTCTCTGCTCTGCTTGCTCTGTCGGCCTAGTGCACTGCTACACTCTGCTACCCCTTTTCTCTTGATTGGTTTGCTCTCTCCGTTGCTCGATACTCCTGCACATTCCAGAAGGCTGATTTAGTTGCTTTCGCTTCACCGCTAGAGGTCTGTTGGTGTCTAGTCACTCTTTGATCCATATTTTCTGCACACATTGCTGGCCATTCAAAAATCGCACGCCATTTTGCTGGCAAATTCTGCAGTGCCATTGCGCAGATCGGAGTTGAGTGAAGGCCAAGGGCTAGCCCAATGAAAGATTAGCCCGGCAGCTCCTACCTCGGTAAAAGGCTCTGCGAGTATGCACTTGATTCAAGCCGAAAGCTCGATGTCGGACGTGTATGCCGATCAAGACTACATCAATGCGACAAAAGGGCTGATGATGTATGAGGGCCATCATCGTTGGAGTGTCGAAACTCTCTTCTCGTGGGACAGCGATGCGAGGAAGGAGCAGATCGATTCGAACTCGCCAGCAGAAACTCTTTCCAGCAAGCTGATGAAACAAAGACTCGGGAATTTGAGCCAACAGTTTGCTAAGAGGGATGCGAACCAGGACCAGAAGTCATGGGCCAGCGTTTTCTTTCGGGAGAGGCTTGTGAAATCTTTTAGGAGCAGACTGTTACCAACCCAAGAGGCACCCATTCTTTCTTTGAAGCAGGGCCCATGGGAGATCCTCGGAGCTCCGCAAGAGGACAAGTTGTCTTCGATGCAACAAGTCCATCCCGTCTTCTCTCTGAAGAGATCTCAACCGTTTGACACGAGCAAGGGTGTTGTTTGCCTTCGAAAGAACGGAATAGACTTCACTTACTCCATAGAAACGGGTCGGGACAGCTCGCGACAGAAAGCCCCTCTGAATTGCCGTGATGTGAGTGTTGGCAACTCTTCAGGGGATGAGACTCTGCTTAAGGACTCTGCGCGCCATCCGTTTGGGGGAAGGAAAGGGGCCAGGGCACGGATGTTTGTGGGGATTCTCGAGTCATTATTCCGCCTGAGAATGCGGGGGGGTTTCTAGTTGTTGTTTCGTTCTCAGTGCATGTGGCGTTGTATTTTATGGAAGTAAAGGCATGATAATAGTGGTTTTCGAGAACATCGGACGATCAAGTACGACGGTACTTAATTTGACTCTGAGTCCGAGCGAGGCCGTAGTATGGCCTGAGAGGTGCACCGTAGTCACTACCGCCCGGCGTGAGGATACGAGCGGCCTGAGTAAGATCATAGTACCCGGCGGCGTGCAATGATTGGTTCTCGCTGTGCCTTTTCTCTTCTCGGGCAGAGTCGCCCGTTTGAGGCCGGTCACACCGGCCGGCGAAGGAGTCAGTGTCAGTGGAGTCACTGGTCAAGCCTCCTCGACTCTCCTGCCATGATTTTCCTCGTACGAGTACCATACTTAGTCATGGCGGTCACAGGGTTGAAAGCAACTTGGCAAGTTTCCCTGACCCGGCGTCCCGCGGCCGCCCGGGGGCCGGCGGCGCCGGCCCGGCCGGCACTGTAAGGAACCACGGTAGTTCCTTGTATGCAATTGTGGTAGAAGGAACCGGCAAATTTTGCGAAGAGGCGGGTGCGTAAAGGAGATCATGGAGGAAGGAAAGAGGGAGGGAGAGGGAAAGTGAGGGCAGCAGACGTCACTCCAGACGAAGGAGGAGAGAAACAAGTGCAGTCTATCTCATGGCAAACGCATGCTTCATCTATCTCATGGCAGAGACAAGGCATGGAGGGTTGTCAAGGATATTGGATTGGAGGGAGTTGTTTTTGTGTGAATGTTTGCCTCGCGATCTTATCTAGTCAGCGTCAAGGTTCTGATCTTGCCGTATTTCCAGCGATGGTCCCTGTCAGTAGGAGTCAGCTCCTGCTCATTGGGATCGCGGCCATGTGCATCGGGCTAGTAGGATACTTGCAAAAGGTATGTTGTGGCTGCTCCTAATACTCGCTCATGATCGATATGCAGAGCCAGACGGTATTATATCAGCTCAATGGTGACAGACAGGTAAGTTCCGATGAGATGGAGCTGTGCGTGTTTTCTGCTCACTTGCTCTGCTGTCTTGATGAAATCTCCGTAACGTATCATCTCAGGACCAATCCATGGCCATCAAAGACTCCACAAGCTTCATGTCCAACCTGCTGGGCGAGTTGGAGGGCGAGAAGGTACGCCGTCGATCTGCTGAACAGCTGCTACCTCCTGATCATGGCGGACGCTGTTGTCGCATCTGAACTTTCCTTACAGAGCGAGCAGCGGAAAGCGAGGAGCCAGCAGCTGTCATTCAAACGGAAATGGTGGGAGTGCAAAGGACACAGCTGCGATACCCCCAGCATTCCAGACGAGCATGGATGGAGCATGGGAGCGCACGAGAAGTACGAGTCCCATCCTTGCCTCCATCACAATTGCCATGAACCCTCCAAGCAAATCTGGAACGGCAACGGGGAGACTGTGGCTGGCAAAGAGGCGCCCAACGTAGGAGACAAGTTTAGCAGGTTCGGAGGGCGCGGGAGAGGATGGGCGGGGTATGATGCCAACAACCGCAACGCTAAGAGAGAGATGGCAAGGGAGCTCGGGGGGCAGAGCAGGGGGGGGATGGAGGGCGACGGGTACCACGACCCCCTCCATCGGCAGCCCTTCTACGGGGGTGGTCTTGGGAATCTCAAGTTTATGAATCCGGGGAGCTCGGTTCGAGTCCAGCACAGAGGCATCGGGATCCAACAGTGGGATACGGACGGGGAACGGTTGCCGCCGCCGGAGAAAATTCCCATCAAGCCGGTCAAGGCAGACCCCCATGAAGGTTTGCAGGACTATCTGGACTCTCAGATTGACCCGCAGGTCGACGAGGTGGTCCAGGAGGAGGTGAAGCCAGTTGCCCCTGCTGGGAATCAAGACAGCTCTGCAAGTGTTGCTGCCCAGTCGTCCTCCCCTCGGCAGTTCTACCAGTCGAGGAAACTTGGCTCCAAGATCCTGGGCGATGGTTCCAAGGTGCTGGAGTCGATGCCCGAGTACAACAAGGAGGAGTGGAAGGAGGGGAAGCTTGTGAAGGTGTGTGACGGCACGGGCTGCCACTGGCAGAAGATCGAGGACGGGTCGATGGACACCAAAGGCCTTCCTTGGGACTTCAACGTCAACAACAACCATGATAGCGCGGAGACAGACGCGGGCCGGCCGGATGTTGCTCATTACCCTGTCACTGACTTCTCCTCCAAGGGCCCGGGAGACCGGTTGGAGAACGGGAAGGTGCTGAAGCCCGGGGTTGTGAGGGTGTGCGATGGATTAACGGGGTGCAAGGACGAGCTGGACTTTCATCATTTGCAAGAGGGGGAGGGGAAACGAGCTGGAAAGGGGGGACAGGAGCAGTCAGAGCTGGAGGGCTCGGCGGTGCAGCGATCTGTACAGTATGTGAAGGACTTTGGAAAGTCGGAGAACAGCACCAAGCTGAGTGTTGAAGTCGTGCATGACGCGCTGTCCTCTGTCGGCCTCAACGTTTCAGCTGACAAGGTGGAGCTGGCAGGGATGTCGTGGTGCTGCCTCGCTGACGTTGCTGCTGCTCCAGATCCGTATGGAGGCTGTCGAGCTGGGAGGAAACCCTGTAAGTTGACAAGGAGGGGGGGGAAGGAGGGAGGGAGGGAGGGAGGGAGGGAGGGAGGGAGGGAGAGGGAGGGAAGGAGGGAGGGAAGGAGGGAGGGAGGGAGAGGGAGGGAGGGAGGGAGGGAGATGTTTGCGCTTCTCATGCTTTGTTCGCAGGAGGATCTTAGCGACGAGACCCTGGAGAAGATCGTGGAGAACAAGGTTGTTGCTTGGAGCGGCGACGGGTTGGAGAGAGCAGGAGAGGACAGGACAGGAAGACAGAACGAGAGAGGGAGGGAAGAGAGGAGAGCACAAGGAGTAGGGGTTCAGAGGAGGATGATCAATTTCTTCATCCTTCCCTTCAAAACCTCATGAAATGATCTGGACTGACTTTCTCTGCAGCTGCAGCAATCGGATGTTTCGTCTGCAGATGGCAAGGTACCTCCGACTCTTTGACAGCCACCATGGGCCCTGACGGACCCTCAGGTCCTCCAGCCATCGGCTGCTGCGGACCTTCACTACCTCCATGTGATACTTGACATCCATGGTCAAACTTCCGACCAAGTTCTTACTCGAAGTAGTAGAAACCTTGCCCCTGCTCCCCCTCCTGCTCCTGCTCCCCCTCCTGCTCTCCTCCCTGCTCCTGCTCTCCCTCCTGCTCCTGCTCTCCCTCCTGCTCCTGCATTCTTTTTCCTTGCCCTCATTGACGCTGCTGATGCAGTCGACAAGCTCAAATCCGCCTTGTCGGCGGCTCTTGACCTTGGGAGGCAGACGGACGTGGATCACGAGGTGAGGAAGAGAGCGAGAAGATGGAGTGGTCGACAGGAGGGAGAGGAGAGGGAGAGGGAGATGCAGAGCGGAGATGCGAGAAGAGAGCAGATGAGAGAGCAGAGGAGGAAAGCAACAGGCAGGAAGAGAGGGCTGATGGTGCAACAGGTCCTCGCCAAGAGCCTGGGGGGCAAGCCAGAAGACTGGATCATCATTGACAAGATCGACAACCTCAACTGCACCGGTCGGTCACGTTGATCTTATTGAAGAATGTTATCTGCTCAGATGTCTTGTGCTGTATCTCGTTGTTTTTACTCGCTTTTCAGCGTTCTTCAGTCTGTTTGACATGCTTTACTGATGTTGAGCTTTGCAGATCCCCTCGTTTGCCAAGATCTTGGGAGAAGACGGTGATAAAAGCTCACATAGTGTATCACAGGAGATGACAACATGTTTATTCTTGTACATGTTTCTCTTATGCATGTCTCGCATATCATCGCACTCCACCAACAATGTCGTGCGTGATCTTTAATGCTGTGCAACGCAGACGCCTTCTTTCTGTGGAGGAGCCAGATATCGAAACATGGGAGAAGGTGAAGTTGCACAAAGATTTCGTGAAGGCGGACAGATTGACAAAGATGGCAGGAGATCACAAGTGAAGCAAAGAAGCTTCAAACAAGGGGGAGGTCGACAAGAGAGGAGGTGAGGACAAGTTGATCTTCGGACACAAGACAACCTGAAATGTTTTCTCTCCTCCTTCCACCTGTCTTCTTCGCTCCTCGTTCGCATCCGCCCTTCTCATTGTTTGTCTCCCCGCTCCAAACTCTCTCTGCTTGAAGATTCAGCACGACTCAAGGTGAGCTGTTGTTGTCGATCTTCTTGTCTGCTCACAAAGGTGTCAGGATGTCACAAAAGTCCAGCAAGCTCTTGAGGGAGGTGATGGCAAAGCTGAGGCATGTGGTAGATCAAGAGAAGGTAAGAGCATGAATCCGCGATGAAGATATGAATGTTGCTTATGAACACGGTGGTGGTCGTGGTGGTGGTGGTGGTGGTGGTGATGATGATGATGATGATGATGATGAAAATCATGATCAGTTTGAAGATGACGATGGTCTTTCACAGAAGAAGCAATCTATCTCTACCTCCCATCTTCATTCTGATGAGAAACAAGACCGCATTACACATCTCAAGCAATCCATCGAAAAGTTCAAAGTCAGTCCGGCTGCTCTTCAGCTTTCATTTTTGCTCATGCTACATCAGATGCAGGCGATGAAATTCAAACGGGTAGAATCAAAGCTGAAGCAGGAAGAGGAAGAGTCTGTGGAGGTATCCTACCCTTGCCTTGCGTCTCTGGTCCTTTGTCGTCCCCCCTCTCTCCTCTCTCCTCTCTCCTCTCTCCTCTCTCCTCTCTCCTCTCTCCTCTCTCCTCTCTCCTCTCTCCTCTCTCCTCTCTCCTCTCTCCTCTCTCCTCTCTCCTCTCTCCTCTCTCCTCTCTCCTCTTCCCACCTGTCCGCTCTTCTTTTCCTCCCCCTCTGTACGTTTCTCCTCTGCTCTCCTCTGCTCTTTCTTCTCCTATTCAGTTGACTTGTCAGGTGGGGCTACACATTTACGTCTCGAGGCGGGACGACTTGTCAACCGTCTTTCGCGCCCTCCAGCTGGCTGTCACCTCGGGGGAGCTGAATCGACAGCTGGCAATCCGAGGATTTGTGGGATCACCGTTGCCAATCAGGTGGGAAGAGATGAAGGAGGAGGAGAAAGGGGACGAAGAGCAGGAGCAGGAGCAGGAGCAGGAGCAGGAGCAGGAGCAGGAGCAGGAGCAGGAGCAGGAGCAGGAGCAGGAGCAGGAGCAGGAGCACAGGGCAAACAAATAAGAAAGAAGAAGCGACAAACAGAGCAGGAAGGAGGGGATGGGAAGGAGTTGAGGGAAGAGGAAGGATACTGTCCTGGATTTTGTCTGACTTGGATTTTGTCGTTCCTTCAGGGTGGGGCTCTACCGTCAGGCCCGAGGGTTCAGCCCTGCAGGGAGCTGCGAGCTAAATTGTCACCGAGACTGCGGGAGTTTTCCTCTTCAGCCCTGCGCGCCTCGGGTGAGAGATCATGAGAACCTTGAAGCCCTGTCCTCCCTTGCTTTTCACGCCTTGCTCGCCCTTCCTGCCCACTCTCCCCTCCCCTCCCCTCCCCTCCTCTCTTCTCCCCTCCCCTCTCCTCTCCTCTCCTCTCCTCTCCTCTCCTCTCCTCTCCTCTCCTCGTTTCTTCGTCTCTCTCCTCTTCTCCTCTTCCCCTCACTATCTTCTTTCTTCTTGTCTTCTCACTCCTCCTCATGGTTTCTACTTCAGGTTGTCATCGGCGATCAATTCATTGGAGAAACCTCGATTGTTAGCTTTGACCGCAAGCAGGTTGGAGAAATCTTCTTCATCGAAATCCCTCCCTCCATCACGACCAACCCCTCATTTCCCTCTCTTTCTCCTCCTCTTCCTCCTCATCCTTGTTCATTTCCTTCTACTCCTTATTCCTGACCTCATCCCCGTCCTTGTTTTCTTCTTCACCTTCCCTGGGTTGTTTCTGCCTCCTTTCTTTCTCTTCCTCCTTCTCTGCCTGCTCGTGATGTCTGCCTCCTTCCAGCCTGTGGAGATCTTGCCTGGGAGGGAGGGAAATGCGCAGCTTCATTTCCGATACACGCTTGACGGTAGGAGGGGAGAGGGGATGTGAAGAGGGGAGACAGAGGCTTGAGGGAGGGGTGGGGGTGGGAGAAGGGAGTGGCAGTGGATGTGAAAGTGCGAGCAGGAACGGAACCTTCCTGCGGCAAGCTTGAGTGTGACGTACTGAAATGCACTCGCATCGGTAAGTGCAAACGAAGTAGAAGAAGACCACGCTCTCCGAGCGGGTTGAGAACAAAAGCGCGCTCGGCATCCTGCGCGCTGTCATGCAAGGAGCAGGATCGATCCTTACGAGGGCAGGGTGGGACTTGAGGAACAGGAAAGATCATTTAGAGGACAACGATGATGTTTCGTACTCTGCTGTGGGGGCGAGGGGGTGTTTGTGACTCGTTTTTTCTCACCCAAGCCCGTCGCCCTTGAGTACAGCCTGTACGATGGGAGTGAGATGATGGAGGAGTGTACGACCATCTACGAGGAGTTTGACGTCACTGCCTGTGGCAACACCTCCCTTCCTCTC